AAGAGTGTCCAAGAGTGTCTCACAAGAGCGTCCCACAAGAGTGTCCCTTATAAGAGCACCTGTGCTGCCAATGCCACGGTCGGGAAATCCTTTTTCCAGCCCCAGCCACCTGTTGCCGCATGGATGGTTCGGGCGTGGTCCACCATCAGCCTTGAAACCGCCGCGCGGGAAGTTGAACGCAACACTAATGGTGTAAGCTGCTGTGAGCATTTGAAATGCTTAAAGCATCACGTGGCAGTTTGTCCCAAAGCTTTGACAGGTTCCTTACAAGAGGTGGGGTGTACTGAATCACTTCCTTTTAAGAAACACCAACAAGGAAAGCTTACAAGTAAGCCCGTTAAAGCAAGACGTGCTATGTTGGTTTCCCTGTTTACCTTGGATTGGAAGCTACGCAAGGATTGCATGGCACTGCTTTTTTTTTTCCGGGCGCTCGCCGCGCCGAGTCCAAGTTCATGAGCGCACTCCGAACCTCGTGTCGCTGCAGTCCGCTACTCTTCTAGACCAGCTTCCATCAAGCGAGCAACAAATCTTAACGGCTCAGTACACAGCAGACTCTCCTGTTGGAGATGATTGCGAGGCGCTTGGCCACCTCCCCACAAAGCTCCTGAGTTCATGGGGGCGTCACGGCGTAGGCGAGTAATTGTCCTCGTCTACCTGGCTCGCACAGCGACAGGCAGGTCGAGATTCTTAGCAATAGATTTCTGGTTGTGGCCTCTGCCTCCTCCACAGCTGGGCCCTGGCTGGCTTCGTTTTCGAAGAATTCCAAGTTTTCGAGGCTCTACCCTGGAAGTCGTTTTTTAGTTTCTGTAATGTCTCCTCGCTCTCGTCAGGCTCCGTTGCCCCCTCCGAGCCATCTTCTGCGAGGACCTGCCAAACTTGACGAGACGCGCTGAAGCTGTTGAATTTCTTTCAGCGCTTAAACTTTTGTTTCAGCGAGATTTACGTATATATATATATATATATATGTATGTAATGTTCTATACCTATGAGGAGATCGCGCCTCATAGCCGCGAGCCACGAGGCAGTCCTGCTTTACAGTAGGGTACTGCAATCCCAGAATGCTCTACGAATCCAATGTGGCCAGCCTCGCAGAAGAGGAACTCGCTCCAGTCAGCCTGCTCGGAGTCGATGATCCCAAGCGGCATGCCACCCGCGCCTCAATGCACGCTTTGACTTGGTGCTTGGCCACAGCACAGGAAGTGGGATATGCTGTTCTCGAGCAGGACTGCCATGACCTCGGATTTTTGGATTTCTGAACGGTGATTTATCTTTGTATCTTGAATCGTTGTGCGATCTCACTGTCTTTATGTTTTCGTTCCTGGCAGTGTCTTTTTGTCCTGGCTAGTTCTTGTCTTTCACGTTTTCCTTCCAATTTTGCCTTCCGCCTTGAAATTACCCAGCCTCGAAATCGCCGCGCGGGAAATTGAACGCAACACTAATGGTGTAAGCTGCTGTGAGCAATTGAAATGCTTCAAGCATCACGTGGCAATTTTTCCAAAAGCTTTGACACGTGCCCATCTTGCCCCCATTCTCAAAACCAAAATTGCACTGCGCCAAACTTTGCTTCCCGCACGAGGCAACGTACGCCGCGGCCTGGGGGCAAGCTTCGCCAGCTGTCAGCATGTAATTGCCCCCTTGTTCGTGCAAACGCACGTAGCGCCACATCGCAGCGATGCGCTGCCCGCTCCATGCTCGTCACCCGGCACACCAGTTCAGATTGGCGAAGCCTGTCAGTACGTAAAAACATGCATATATAATATATAATTCATCCTCCAGACTAGTCAAAAAAATATAATATATTATATATACGATATATATATATATATATTCTGGGCACCTGTTGTCACCAGGAAGCACCTGTGAAGTCGGGTGCTGGTATAACATGATATAACATGCATATCTATAGTCTAGAGTCTAGACAAACATCCTCCAGACTCGCTCCGCTCCACTCGCTGTTGAGTTGTTCTTGTTCCCCAAAGATCCCCCCGATCCACCGCGGTGGCACCGGTCGCCTGGAGGTCAAGACGCGCAAGATGCCACCGGGTCCGTTGAGGGGCACAGAAGTCTCACCTGGCTCGGTCGAGCGGCGAGGTCAGCGCGAGACGAGACGAGACATCAACAAGTGAAGGCACACGTCACGAGTTTGAACGGGTTTCCTCCTTTTTTGTTGGTGAAGGGCATTGGAGGGCCAACTGTGGCTGGGGGTCCGTTGCGGGCAAATCTGATGCCATTGTGTTGCCTTCCATCCACTTGATTGTTGAAGCAAGAAAAGGGGGTTCCAGGAAGACCATCCAACACATCACCCCAGAAGCCTGCTTGGCATCCGATTCACACCTATTGTTCATGTCGATGAAGTCTGAAAACCAGAAATAAATACAGCAGGACATGCGCACCTGGATCACTGGTCACCATGATATGGCTGGCACAGCCAGCACCCGATCCAGTTGCGCCCACACCGACTCACCGGTGAAGTCTGCAAAGCTTTCAGATCAACATGGACCCCCAACAGCACTCAGATGTCCCATGGGTCAATTCTCAGGGTACCAAATGGGTGCATGTGACTTTCTTTGTGGATCCGATCCAGTCATACCTTCTCCTCAGGTTCGGTACGACTGGACCCTCCAAACCTAGACCTGCTCACCTTACCTCGGAGAGTGGCAGTCGCGGATCCCTACAGTCTCTCTGGGCGGAGTATCTGCTTCAAAGCGACACCACGCCTAATGCAGGTCGCAGAGTCATCTGCTCCAACTGCTGAAGCTCACGTGCCGTCTGCGACCAGGAAAAGGGGCGACATGTGTCCGAAAAAAGAGATCTCGTGGCAAAGGTGACACGGGTCTCTGGTGACCTGGTGATTGGCTTAAAGAACCGTTAAATACAAGAACATTCCCCATGAAGGTCAGCATTCACCTCTTGCACCACCTAGCTAGCAGCTAGCACCTACATTCACCTAGCATCCTACCTCCCATGAATTCGATGATTTACCCCGGAAAAAAGCACCAATCACCTGCTCAAAACCAGGTGACTGAGACTCAGAAGGGACGGAGTTGAACAATGACTCAGGAACCAGGCAGGCAGTGGAGTGGTCTCTGGGAAGCGACGGAAACATAACCACTGCAATTAACACTACATGGCGAAGAAGGATTTTGGGTCTTTCCAGCTCCTTCGCCACGAAGACCGATTCGAAGTCCAGCCCAGTTCGTGTGCGGGCACAGGCTCCGCCTTGTGCATGAGCTTCAATGACAGGCCGTGCTCGGCGTGCGCGTCCAAGGAGCCACTGGTTCCCTCCTGCTGTATTCGTCGCTTCACGTCGAAAAAAACAAAGCGAGGGCCTCATGGCCGATCTTGACATTGTCCAGCTCTAGCGCTTATAGCACGTTCCATACCCAGCAAACCGTCTAAGCTTTTGGTTCCAAAACCATGCAACCCCACGCACTCGAAGTCCTTTTGACCGACTTGTTCGTACCAGGTCCGTTCCGACTTCGGGTCACCCAAGGTCCGTTCCTTTTGATCGTCTTTGACTGCCTGGGAACTTATACCTTTATCCATGTACTAGTATTCTCTTATTGTGTGTGTTTAGTTTTAGACACTTGGTGCGGTCCCGGATCAAAACCATCTGAACCCTTCTAAACCCCACCGAAGCGACAGTCGTCAGTCAGAATCGGCTCCTCGAGGGTGAGGTGACTTCCCTGCGAAGAGATGACGAGGCTGAAGGGCGTCAAGTTCACCAAGTAAACACCTCGCGGCTCAAAACGCGAGGATGGTGGGGTTTCCCCGACGTCAACCCTAGCAGATCGGAAACAGCAACGCGGTTTCCGCCGTGGACCTCACTAGGCTTATGACCCGGTTTTGTGGCTCCAAGCACATCCTCAGGTGGTTGGGGTGGGTGGGTGCCAGGGGGGTCTGACGACCTTGTGAGGATGTGGTTAGAGCCTTAGCGTGTGTTGCCAAAGACCATTTGACATGATTGTCATCGTTTTTGGTCCATAGCGCTTTCCAATAACACCATATTTATTAGATAGTATACCTGCAAGCACATATGGACTCGAAAACAAAGTACACCATGCTTTCGAAGGCCATCTCACAACCTCAGATTGGGGGCTTGCATTGCGTTCTGACAGGAATGGCACAGCGCATGTCCTATGCGATTCGGTTCTTGTGGCAGTGGCTTGTGCCTGTCAAGGATCACAACACATAAGCGAGCTAGGAGCTCGGCGCATGAGTAAAAGCTTGTGTGGGGAAGTAATTTGACAGAGTGCCTGGCATTACATGTTGGCAAATGTCCGCTTATGGTTTGGATTATCGTTTGGGAAGTAAATATAGTTTAAGAAAAAAAGATCAGAAACACAAAAACACCTCGTGAGATTCTGCTGCAAGGCAAATCATTGATGGACACCTTTGCCCATCGGATTGTAACACATGGTAACAGTTCTGTTGTATAAACATTTTACTATAAGTTCCATTGGCCGCAAGCCTGGAGCAGCTCACACCTCACCATTTGCTCCGGAGCAGCTGAAAAAGCAGCTCACTCCTCCCGCTCCCGCCGACGGGTCCCCGGCCTCGTACCCAGGCACGCTGACCGGGTGCGGAGCCGATGGGCTCCCCCAGGCGTGGGCGTGGCGTGAGGCGTTCGCTCCGCGGCTTCGAGGCCAATTGACGGCCATAGAGTTGAGCGAGATCTTTCAGCCGCGCCAGGTCGTACCTAGACTTCTCGTGGCACGAACGAGGGATGCCGGTGGAAGGCGGAAGCCGAAGGCGTGTATATGAGAACCATGCAGTCTTTTGTAGGGGGGGATGAAGGTGCAGCTCTGAAGAGCTTCGTGTTAATAGAGCCAACCACCTAGATCTCCATGTTGAGATGAAGCCAAAATAAAGGTAAATGAAGATATATCAGTATTGGACTATATATGACTATATGTTCATTGCATTTTCCAAAGCATCCTTGACCCACATGTTTGGGTTGACACTCTGAAAATTACGATAAGCCAAACTGGAGTGACATGCCTTTCCCCTTACCACAAGTCACTCCTGCTTGAGGGAAAACAAAAGCAAGCACGGGGAGGAGGATTATGTGGTCCTTCACATGGGAATCAAGCAACGGCACCCTGGAAGAAGGAACATACACCATGCAGTCTATACCTATTGAACGATCAGGGGTGTCTTTACCACTCAAATAGTATCGACTCTGCAGCAACGGCTTTGGCGCACGCGCTGCCCTCGCCATCCACCAGCGCCGAAGCCAGCGCGCTGGCCACGAGCTGTGCGAGCTGGGGAGTGTCTGCGGCATCCTGGCGGCGGTTCCACGGAGGGCGGGGCTTCGCCGGGCCACGGTGGCTCGGTGGATCGGTCGTGCCGGCCTTGTGCTATCCTTCGGCGGTGCCGTGCCACCGAGACCGACGCGTCTGACTCGACATGGAACATCGTGGGCGGAAACCGCACGCCCCCGAAAACCACTCTTTTTCGATAGCATATGATGGGAACAATACTACGGAAGAAAGATATTTGTCTTGACTGAACTTTTGAAAGTTCACGTGAGGGTATGCCCTCGATTCAACATGATTCAACTGCCAACCAATAGATTTTGTTTTAAAACATGATATAAAAGGCAATCTATGATGGAACATGTTCACATGTTTAGTCCTACCGTACATGAAGTGTCCTAACCAACGACTGCAGCAACATGAGCCAAACATGGATGCCTCTGCTGGTGTTGGTCGACCATTGGAACGAACTAACTCACTTGTGGATAAATCCTCAACTGCCCTTCCACGTTTTTGGACCAAAAAACATGAACTTGTCCATCATACCTCCGAACTGAAAGTTAAGAATGGGGGGACGAACTCCAAGTGTTTTGCCATCACCTGTTGGAATGCCTAAATGTGATCATATTAGAATGCCTGGCTGTGAACATCAGAATCCATGTTTGTCACCGCATGGGTGACCAATATTAATCGACTGTTTATGAGGCTGTGAGGTAGGTCGATGGAATCTGTACGGACATCTTTTTGTAAAGCACCTGACATTGGAGAAGAACAGGAATCTGCTTGTCCTTCTTCGGCTGATCTTGAATTCTTGGTACTGAAGTTAGTTTCGTGTTAACTAGCTGTCAAGGTCAAGATGTCAAGGTATTAGAAAACACATGCCGCATGCCTCAAACAAGTGCTCCACTACCATGATAGCAGCTCCATGGGTGAGATGTATTCATTGTCATCACAGGATTGCCTGCATGGCCATTGATTTCATGATACAGTGCAGGCTCCTTGTCTTTTGGGATCAGGCAGGCAAGTGCTGTGACTGCCGGGACCCTCCCCATCTATAAAGATCCCCCCCAGATCTATGAAAATCTGGGTCACGTGCGACTGTTCTCGCAAAAGCGATCGAAAGCCGAGCTGGCGATATGTCTGCACAGAAGCATTGGTACAGTGCGCGACCAGATCAGTGCTTGCTTGAATACTTGCAAACCCAAATTGGTTGCACAAACAAATTTCCACAAAGTGACAGCAACACGCATCTTGCACAACCATGCATGAGCAACATATCCAATTTCAGTGATCAATCTGGGATGAGACTCTATCTACCACCTGAGCAGCTGCTTTGGCTTCTTCCGGGCGGGTCTACCTCTGCCTGGACCTCCAGTTCGTACCCTAGAAAATGGGACATGAGCTTATAACATCAGGACTCAGGTCGTTGATACTAATGACTCATTTTTGGAGCTATACTCACAGGTCGACTCCATGTGCGAACACAGCCCAAGTCGGTCACACGACGTCTGGTTTCTCCCCGCCTTTGTCAGCCACGAGAGATATGCTCGCACGCTCCACGCACGGCAAAAGCGCCTGTGCGAAACCGCCGACCATACGCGGTGCGAAAACGGGTCACGGCTGTCGGGTCCATGGGTTATAAAGGCTGGTGAAAGCGGGTCGGTGAGAGGCGATCTAGAAGTAAGAGCTGCGACTCGTGCACAGAATCTCTGCGTTTGAACTTCTGAAGTAGCTGACCTTCAGCTTCAAAGGTGGCCGGGCGAGAGGCATTACCTGAAGCAAGGAGTTAGCTTGGAGGCACCCAGAAGACTAGATGCAGCCCGGATCCGCCTAACAGAGATAGCCAGTTGTGTGGTTGACATCACTCTCTCCCAGGACTCCACAGAGGTCACGAATGGCTCAGGTCCTGGTCATCTGGTCATCAACATTTCAACATCGCTGCCACTGCTGGATTTCTGTCAAAACTCCACAACAACGCCATCACCACCGCCTTCTCAGCCCACGAGCGATCTTTTTTGAGGCAGGACACACAGAGAACAGCTCCAGGCAAAATATCATCAAAATGGTAGTATGAATAGCGACTCCAGATATGCAGTTCACACACATTTGGATCCACATCAGCTTCGAAACAGACCCTTCTCATCAGCTCGCCTGCTCATCCCAGTCTCCAACTCTGAGCGTAGCATCTCGGTCCTGCGCATGCATGTTTATATATAATATATACAAGTCTATTGTTTTACTGAAGGTTTTACACTATACAAAGACTACAAAGGCCCAGTCAACCTTTCTTGTTATGATCTTGGAAGGCTGGGGGATGGGTTCGGATGGGAGATGTTCCATATGTTTTAAGGGCATTTAGACGACAAAAGCCAGGGCAAGCGAACTGAAGGATAGGGTACTGGCTAGTCTATTGGGGTGGTTGAAAAGGGGTCAACTGATCGGCGTATATGATATTCATTGATATTCCAGTCCAATAGATGGTTTGTAAATCCTCCCTGACACACAACAAAACCTTTGGTCCCACCAAACCAAAATGAGGATCAAAAAGAGTCGGAAGTTGGAACCTATATGGGTGGTGGGACTAGAGGTTGGCCGTTGACCTGCTACAGTAATTAACTCTCAAGCCATTTCCCTGCAAAAGAACGGTGAATCTCTATCCATCGTGTTCATGTTGAGTCGAGAAAATGCATTTTCTAAGAAGGTTGATAGAGGTCGTCAACAGACTGTGAGAGGCCTATAGGGCAACCAAAGAAGGCCTGTGGATCCCGGCAGCTCTCCTGGGGACCGAGCCAGAGGCCAAGCGAGCACAAGCGGTCCTTGGGACGCGAGGTAGATAGTTCAACACCATGTACAAACCCTGATTCCTGATCCTTGCCGAGTTGTTCAAGGTCTTTGTTGTGACTTCCTCCGCAAACTGCTACTGGCGGTGCCTCTTCCGTGGTGCTGTCGGACCCCTGACCCCGAAGGGAGAACAGGCACCGGGTCAAAGGCACGCAGACCGTTGAGGTCACGAAAATCGTGATCTGCACTCTTTCAGCAGACTGACTGAACAAGTCCAAAGGACTTCACCGTGTGGATTTGGGGGGTTGAAGGGTTGGGGCTTCCCCATTCGGTACACAACGGGCCGGCTCCAGGCAGGTCTACAGACTAGCTGAACTGTGGAGACCGATCCCGGCGGTTCCGAGGACTCCTAAGACACGCCCACCCAGTGCTGGATGGTTGGCTGGTCCTTGAAGTGAACGTCCTACCTGCAGCACCCTGTCTCTATGGAGCTCAATCATACATCCTCAGCGCAAGCACCGAACCTGCGCTTCCAAAAGCGTTTAACCTTTAAGGACTCAAAGCCCATTCCATTGCTTCTCAGTTTGTCCACTCAAGAAACATAACGACCACCGAAGCCCGAACAAAAACACGACATCAAGTCTTCAACGGACCGGTCCGTGTTGGGGTGTGGTGTCTCATCCTCGACCGCGTCTCAGCCCGTTTTCACCAACTCGCTGCAGAACCGAGCCGCGTCTCTGCGATGATATGAGCTGCCTCCGGAGACGGTCAGACGTGCGATGACCAGAGTGTTCAGAGACCCAACTCGCTGCAGGTCTTGGAGCGTTTCACAGTGAGCCCCCACGTCAAAATCGAGCATCAGCCGGAACCATCGAACCAGATGGACACCGCAGCCGCTACAAGCGGAAACTGGGGACCTCGGGTTATGCCTACACCACTGCCTGCACCTGGAGCCCTCGATTGCAAACTGTACCGACAAACTTGTCAAACGTTGTGGCACAATGTGGCACATGTCTTTTGGAGGTGGTGGAGGGTCAACAAAGGAATCAAATGAAAGGATGTGTGGTTCCGGATGTTTTCACCAGGGAAATCTGCACACAAAAAAGAGGCTGCCTATCTACCCCGCCTAGTGGATCCAAGTGGTAGATCTGCTACAGTACTGCTACAGTATAGGGTTTAATTGAATTTCCAAGAGAACGGTGGGCAAAAGAAGCGACATGGTAACTGCCAACTGGTAATTTGGTAATTCCCATGATCCGTATTAAAAATATTTTGTTGTATAAATGCAAGTGCATGTCCTTCGCCCTATATTCACAGGGTGGAAAAGGCCTCACAGCTGTGCACCTGGAAATCCAGTCATCCCCTCTCCAATCTCTCCATCCAATCATCCACTCCCTCCATTATATCAAATTAAGACTATATAAATGACTGTCACTTCCTCACAAAACCATCCAATCTTGCTGACAAGAACACACACACACACACTTGATGGCCCAAACACGCAGAAAAAACACACACAAAACAAAACAACTACGCCCTCAAGACACGCCTCCCTTCCCTCCCCCTTCCCTCCACGCCCTTCTGGCCTCGGGGCTGATGGGATTCTCCCGCAGATCCAACTCGCGAAGCCGCCAGTTGCACTGCATCGCCGCCGCCAAGGCCGCGCCCCCTGGGCACGGCATGGTTGGATGAATTTGGGACGCCAAGGCAAACAGAATCAGGAACCAGTTTCGTGGTGGCGCTGGAACCTCTGGGACGTCCCAGCGACATCGTGGGGACTGCCTGGATACCCTGGGTTGGATTTGGGAGATCATCGTTGCGCTAGAGATGCCTGCTTTCTGGGCGCGGACTCACTTCTAAAGCAGTCCTTGAGGCTGCCTGTGAAGCTATCTGCGTACACTTGTTTGCTATACTCGTTTCATCCACACATGTGCTTCAACCCTGAACTCAAGCTTGAAGTTTCACCAAGCCACCAAACCCCAATAGACAGCCAACTATAACAACTTCTCTTGGTACGTGTTTCTTCTTATGACCCATCTCCTCGTGTCGTCCGGAACGTCTCCCGCCCGGTCGACCGACCGTCTCACGACGTGCCAACCAACGCATTCCCGCCGCCTGCGGTGGCGATCTCGTTACTGGGAAGCGCCAGCTCCTCCACATGGCGAACCCGGTGGGTGGCGCCGTCGGTCATTTTGGATGGAAGCCCCCTTTTCGTGGCTTCAGGGCCTCCGGCTCATTGATTGAACAAACCCTTTGAGGATCCAGTCCTACCGAACCTCAGGTTCGGTACGACTGGACCCTCGAAGTATACACAAAAGAGAGTCCACTCACCTTTTCAAAGGATATGTGGATCCGGGAAAAAAGAGAGGATAGTCCATACAATAGTCCATGAACGAAGTTTTGGAGAACACTGGGTGCCTTTCCATCGACCGACCAGGTCTTTGGAGAAGAACTGCAGCAGACCATGCCGCCGAGTTCACGCCGCCGAACGCCCGAACACTCCGTCGAACACTGCGGTTCGGTTGGTCTGGGAGTCGCTGGTTCATGGAGTCCATCTTCTTCCCAATCCAAGTGAGCCACCAGTTAGATCACGGTAGATCACCTATAGTAGGGTACTGGAGCCTGGCATTCCTGGCCCACCAGTGTTCTTGATGGGTCTTTGTTGCCAAACAACTTGTGTTTTTTGAACGACCCACCAAACCGAGCCCTTTGACTGGCCTTGGAATGCAGGTCGGAAGGGGGGTAGATTCCAGTTGGTTTTTGTTGGGCGGCTTAAGGCTTAGGGCCTAGCGGAGCGAAACTGTGCAAAAGCACGAACTGCTTGGTGGTTTCAACTTCTTTGACAGAAATCACACTCTGAAGACATCACATGTGTCATGGAACATGGGACAGGTGGTTTTCCAACTATACCATGATTGTAGGGTTCAATCACTCATCCCAAAGGTTCGTCGACCATTCTCACAGTCCCTTTACCGTGGAGATCACCATCGCTTCGAGCGCGCTGCTCCCAGGCGGTCCCGGGATATTCGAAAACCGTGATCCGTACGGTGTCCAACCTGCTGAGATAACCCGTGGCAGATAACTGAGGGGTTGTTCGTGGATACATGCCCATTTCTTTTCTGGTTGTTTAGGTTTCCATGTCTGTCCCAAAACATGTCTAACGATCCAAACTGTCTGATGAGAGAACACGATCGTTTTCACATCAAAAAAGGTGATCACCGCTGCATGTCCTTTACACGAGTGAGGCAGGACATCTGTGAGGTAAGCCTTGTATACAGAAAAACGACACATATTTCCTCAACAAAAGTTCTGGCCTAGTCTTGCTTTCCGAGGTCCTGGCTTATGACATTTGCCAACCCGTCTGCTCCTCGAGGCAGCAATTCTTCTGGATGGCCGCAGCAAAGGCTGCTGCCCCAGCGTCCTAGCGGCGCAGAATTCTGGGGCGAAACATAATTTCGCTAATTCATGTAGACAGAACATGACGTTGTTTTATTCATCAACAGTCAACAAATTCTAAACAAACGTGTTACATTTCACCTCATTGGTTGATGATGTTCAATGAGATAACCATAGATAATCTATTCCCATCTTTACCAATCACTTGGGGTGGTTGATGTATGGGTCAATATAGGCAGTTTGAAAACGAAGCTGGAAACCACCTGACCCACCACCAACCCCAGAAAGCGCTCACCCCGAAAGCGCACCCGGAGGCGATTGCCCGCGAGGCCCAGGCGACTGGGACCTTTGGCGGTCCAAAGCCGCTTCGCCATTTGGACGGCTCCTGAGATCAGAGCGGAGAACCTCCGGGGGTACCCAGTGGGGTCTTCGGGTCCGTGGTCTCGGTGGACCTCTGACCAGAGCCCGACCGAGCCGACGCGAGCGGGCTCGGCGTGCGAAGCCGGAAGCTGAGAAGCGAAGCTGTGTCACCGGTGTTTTTGGACATGTTGGATGGGGCATCTGGTAAGTACTGCTGTGCACTGGAGAGGAAATTGAGTTTAGAAGACTGACCACCACGTGGCAATCAGATTAACTGGTGCAATGATCTGCGATCCATGTCCGAAGATGGATGCAAGGTGTGACTGTCATGGCCTCATGGCCCTTCCTATAAGCTTCAACTGGTTGATTCTGACTCCTACGCAAACCATGCGTGGCTTTTGCAGCAAACATCTACTAGCTGGAAAAGAGCAGCCACATTGGTGCATAGAAGACTTGAGGCTCGCAAAGAGTCTTGAAACGGACCTCTACCGAGTGTCTCTAATGACAATCTCATCCAATGCCAAATGTACCGCAGAATCGAATGTTTCAACTGCACAATTCTGTAGACCAATTCACATCAATCTACATCTGAATGTTTCATCTGTCAACCAATCCATTCTAGTTCGTAGGGTGCTTGCAGCTGATGTTTTTCGTGAATTATACAGATTATACCGTATACCGCAGCTGCGTATATCCCAAACACTCCATGTATGCCATATATATGCTCACATTGACCCCCGAAACCACCCCAACTGATCGGCATATATGGCAGTTTGATGGGTCGCGGGTACTAATAGACCAGCCACGGTCGCCACCGACCGAGGGTCAGACGACGCCACGAGGCTGATCGGCTGATCGAACGTGTCCACCCACGAGAAAGCTAACGACCATGTGATCCTCACACTCGACCTTCAGAACAAGGTCTCCCCAAGGTATCCCCAAGGTCTGCGCACTGACTGTCTGCTTTGGACCTGCCTATATGGCGATATCCAAAGCCTTCAGCTACCTGAAAACCCCATGTAGCTTCTCAGGAAAGATTGATAGCTTAAGTTCAGTTTTTTCCAAGAAATCCAATGATAGCACAACTGACAGTTTCAGGGCTTTAGGCAGCGGACATCCATACCGATGCTCCACGCGACTGCAAAAAAAACGGCCTATATAATGTGGTGGTTTTGGGGGTGCACGTAAGCCATGTCGGCGCCACCAGTCCGCAGCCTTTGGGATAGCAAAAGTGATTTCAATGTCGTTTAGTTCAACAGGGGTCCATTGATCCCATTGATCACATATGCAGAGGATTGAGAGAAGATGGCACAAATCCCAAGTCTAAAAACAAGGACCTCACCCCATCCTCCCCCCATCTGTCTAGAACTCTTGGGTTTTTGTGGCCACTTCTCACCTCTGTAGGCCCACTTCTCGGCCGCCTGTGCCGGCACCTCTCCCAACCTCTCCCGGTTCCCCCGGTGAACGGCGCCTTCGGCCGTCACCTGCGTGAGCGGTGACGTGCAGGTGAGCGCTGACGTGAAAGCAGGCACCGGTGACGTGTCGAAGGGGAGTGTCAAACGGGAGTGTAGCAGGGGGGTGGTGGATGTATATATGTTGTATGGTTGAGGGTTTAGGTGGTTGATATAATCAGTGGTGGATGTATTTCGAAGGTATGGGAATATATGATATCCAGTCAATTACCAGTGTCTGGGTCATGAATTCGGGGCGGTTCTGAGAGACCACTCGTTCTTGATGTGTCAACTTCGGTGGAGTGCGTGGAGGTCCATGAACTGAATAAGCCTAATGATTGAGATGTGGCACTTAAAGCTTAGTTGAATCATCGTTGCCACCACGAAACATGACATGTCAGCCACTTTGTGGCTATGAGCAGGTATGCGTTTGCCAGAAAACAGTCGACTTATATATAAACTATAAATTCGATTTATATCCCTGGCCATCCTTGGCCATCCTACACTCGCCGCTTTTCCTGATCAGGATCTTTCCCTAGGGCTCCAACCACCTCCTGAGAAGATGGTTGGGGTGGATTTGGGGGGTCTAACCACCTTTTGAGGAGATGGTTGGAGCCCTAGGGTTTGGCGGATTGCCATTCAACCGACCCGTCCGACCAGCCGATGGAAGGTCGATCGACACCGTCTGAATGACCGGAGCCGATCGACGACATGAGCCGAGCAGCGAAAACATCTTTCGTGCCATACCCAGAGGCACGAAATCATGGGACTGATGGACTATATAATTAATGACCCCTATATAATTAATGATTATTACATGGCTCAATCATGGTCTATATAATGCATATATGTACATTGACCCCTTCGAGAAACCACCTCAATGTACCCGCCCTGTATCCGACGTCGTCATGTCGTCGGTACGGTCGAGTCTGGACGGTCGCTGATCCTCCACGGTGCATCCTCCACGCTCCGCTCGGGTGGTCCGTCGCCACCTGGTTGAAGCCCAACTCCAAGTCCCGCAAGGGCAACCTTGGAACGCCGGTTACGCACGCGACGGAATGCCATGAATCGACCTGGACTGGGTTGACTGAAGAAATGCCCCCTTTTTTGGATTGAACATGTTCTTGGACTGGGGGGGTGTTAATCAAGACATTGACATACATTAACCATCATTAACCTCAAGTGAAGAACCAATACAGTGAAGTTGGTCAGATCGCTGGCATGACCTCTCGCTGGAAAAGTTTTGGGTGGCTTAGCACGGTTTTTTGAACCGCTCCCATTTCGTCTGTAGGTTACACCACCTGATACTACCTGCTTGGTATTCGGAACATGGTCATCCAATCGGGGCCATGCCATCCACGTTGGCATCCGAAAACGCCACCGAAAAAAGGGCGTTCCTTGCCGTCCAAAGGGCTGGAGAAGACTAAGAGCAGCTTCGTCACTGAGGTTGTTGTCCTCCAGCCGTAGCACCTGCAATCGAAAGATGGTGTTCAACAAGGCGGAAACCGCATCTGACCTTTCGGGATCGGTCCAAGCCTGGCATGAACCTCATCTAGCAAGCAAGCTCTGCCTGCTCTGTGGACCAAACGCATGGTAAGTGGATGGCTATCTCTATATATATATATATATATTTCTATATACAGTATATCCACAACCCCTCCGCACCCGACTTCACACGTGTTTCCTGTGTTTCCAAGTCCGGTGCCCAGGTTCACCACCTGTGACCCGACTCACAGTCCCACAGCCTCAGGAGGGTTTGGGGGGAGAGTTGCAACATATGTGGGCCCTCTTGTCCCTGTCCACTCCTCTTAGGTGGTGAAAACAGAATACTCCTCTTCGGCAGTTCCGTGTCACTTTTTTCGGCAGAACCACGACTGGATCCAACTGGCAAGCACACCTGAGAAGCTGCAAAACGAAAGCCAGCGCTTCCCTTTCTCGACAACTGCGCGTCGAAGCAATCAAATGAGCTCACGCAGCCGCTTGCGGCCGCGTGTCGAATCTGCTTCATGTCTTGTTCTGCCCACACATAGGTAACCATGCAAAAGCAAAAAGTGCACTCTTGCATCACCACCCGCTCCAAAATCACTAAAACATCACCTCCAAGAGTTTACGTATACCTTTCTCGGGCCACCCCCCCGACCCCCGACCGACTTCACACATAGATAATTCCCATCCACATTCAGTTGAAGCAAAAGCCAAACAATGCACCAAAATTCGAGGTGGCCTGGGACCAGAGGCTCGCTGCCCGAAACTATATGTTCAGGCCACCTCAAAAATGAAGGTCTGCGAAGCGAGAGCAGAGGATGCACATTGTCCTTCTGCTGCTTGAATGTGGCCTTTTGTTTACTTAAAAGCTCAAGACCTCCCAGCTGTTTCCACATCTTCGCTTCCCAGTCTTCCCAAGGTTCATCTAGGGAGCCAGGCCATTTTCAGAATCTTCTGGATTTGAGCTGTTCGAGTTCCTATTGAAGGGTATAGTTGGCGAGTGCGTCACCACCCGCTCCAAAAGCATCAAAGCATCACCCCCCAGAGTTTACGTATATCTTTCTC